TACATGGTGGGCAGCCCGGCCATCTCCAACAGCAGAGGGTCTACATCAATGCATCATTATCTTAGCTTTAAAATAACAAAGCCATAGGAATTCGAGGTCGTTTGCCTAGTGCAACATAAATCCTCAAACATATCTTTTAGGCATTTGTACAATCCTGTTGTATAATCTAAGCCCTAAACTTGCCTTAGGATTCCGAGGTTGTCATTCGTTATGACCTAAATCCTCACATCTTCAAGGTTATTTGTGCTGATTGCTTCACACAAATGAAAATTGCAGGATGAAACATCTAAATGATCTCTCCTAAGTTGAAACCAAATAATAGGATAGCTTAGGAAGTCACCGAAGTTCTCCTTCGAATCTGTGACATCCTCTAGTGTTTCCTCCTTTGGACTCCAAAATAAAATGTTCCAAATTTGAACCAATCCCCCTTCACACTTCTTAGTCCGATATCTTTGAAATGTCCTTACCATTTGAACTCCTTGAAGATAATTTTTCCTAGATTTCTATCGAGAGTATTCTTAGGTAACTTCAGTTATCTAAGATGTAATTAACTATAGGGGCTTGCCCCTATAGGAAGCTTATCCCGAACCCAGCACAATATAAAATTCTTGTGTTCATCCTTCGAGATAGATACAGGATTTGAGATAAAGTGCTCTTTCATCTAAACTATGAAAATTATGGGGTCAGTTTGACTTCATCTTTTTCAAAACTAAATTTTTTTTAACGTCCTTCCGAAGCGGGCAACGGGATTTCAATTCTGATGGCCGACAGCTTCTTACGGGCAAACTCCACACCAAAAATACTGCCGACAGCTTCTTACGGACAAACTCCACACCAAAAATAGTGCCGACACGTGCCAAGGAAGCAGATGCCATGTTTGCTTTGATTCATGAAGAAGTTTACGATCCAAATATGAAGGAAACTTCCACTAGTCTGTCGATTACAGAGGACGAGCCAAAAACATTTACAGAGTCTGCATTTTCAGGGATCCCCGATTAGCTTTGTGTAGGATGTCCCATGTGTAATGCAGAAATTTTAAGGAGAACTTGATCAATGGGAGCCTTCATAGAATGCCCATAGTGTAACACCCTCCACTTGAAGAGTTACGAGACGTTAAAGAATATATAGCTGCCAGCATGAAGTTCAGAAATGCAAACCACCCAGAGGTCGAGCCAAAAATACCATAGTTTACATTGCCACCACCATCATGGATTCCTCCAGTGGATGAGATAGAGGAGTGACCTTGACATCCTTAGAGGATCCCTACAGCAGAGTTATAAAGGATGAGCAGGGTTCGGAAGCAACAGTTTGAGTACTATGAGGAAATTCAAGGAAAATTCATTAATACCCTAGAAGGATTGGAACTACACACTGGAGTATTCTCAGAAAATGATGAAAGAAAGATTTTGGACTGTGTTTTCGATCTCAGAGACAGAGGCCAAGCCGGATTACTGGGGAAGAAGACATATGCTGAGCCACAGAAGTGGATGCTGGGAAAAGGCAGAATTTCTATCCAATGTGGATGCCGCTATAATTTTGTTAAGGACAGGGGGAAACCCCCCCCCCCCCCAATATTTTAAGGTATGACGAGGTGGATCCCATGTCGTCCATGAAAAAGCGCATGATTAAGGGAATGGTAAGATGGAGCGTACTGCCAGCGGATTGCATCCTGAATAGTTGCATCATCAACATCTACAAGGAAGGGGACTACATACCTCCCCACATCGATCACCACGACTTTGTCAGACCATTTTGTATTTTCATGAGCAAGGGCAACATCATATTTGGAAAGGAGATATATTTTGTTGGACTCAGCGAGTTCAGAGGTTCAGTTACAATTCCACTACCAGTTGGTTCAGTGTTGATTCTGAAAGGAAATGGAGCAGACCTGGCAAAACACTACATTCCTAGAGTGCCATGGCACAAAGTCTTGGTTACATTGAGAAGAATGGATCACAGTAAGATACCATACGGATTCCAGTCAGATCTAGAATTGGAGGAGTTGCGCCTGTATGAGTTATGAGATAGTTGTACCTCTTATTGCACGTGAAACAAACTCTTGTCCCGAAGTGTAGCTTAGAAGGTTAGCTTGATCACCAGTTTACCCTACAGGATGGATAGACAGATAGACAGATGTCACTCTTTTGTACTGCAATAGAGCAGTAGATATGATATATGATGTTTCAGATGTACTCAGCTGTTGCCTTTTGATAATTCCAGCATGATCAGTTGTACATCATATTTGAAGTATAATTAATGAAGTTTCTTTCAAGATTTCAGCATGTTTGTCGATTTGCCATTTTGTGCGTTTGATGAAAAGCTACATGACCACGTATTGGTTATAAATTATAAAAAATACGATACAAAGAAAGTCTAATAATAAAATTAAAATTCAAAATTGAAATATTAATTGAAGAAAATCAAATTTAAAAAGATATCCTAGAAAAAAAAATGATAATGAAGATAACAAGAAAGTGATAAAAATGATAAGCTAATTCATCTTGAATTTGAAGTTCCACACTTTGAACTTCCGTAGCACAAATTCCACCATCTACATGATTTTTTTCACAATCCCACGGAGTTTCACACTCTTCACAAAATTTCACAAATCTTTCCTCACCACTATCAATCTTGAAGTTCCACATGTTCATAAACTCTGCACCACAAATTCTCTACACTCTTCTTGCAATGTTCTCAGAGTCAGTACCAAAATTTTGATTCACTTCCGCTACCTCTTGCGTTGGATGTGAGTCCCGGAGCTTTCCTTCCCAATATAGCTCGTCACCTCTTAGGTTGGATGTGAGTTCCTGTGCTTTCCTTCCTAATGTGGCACTAATCTTTGAGTAAGTATAAGACCACCTTAGATGGAGTAAGGCATCTTATTTTGATCCTTCGAGATCGGTCTAAAGCCACTTTAAATAGAGTAAGACATCTGATTCTCTACACAAATCTTCGAGATAGGTATAAGACTACCTTTGATGGACTAAGGCATCCTACTCTCATCCTTCAAGGTCGGTCTAAGGCTACCTTAAATGGAGTAAGGCATATGATTCTCTACACAAATTTTCACAAGATAGGTATAAGGACACCTTAAATGGAGTAAGGCATCCTATTCTCATCCCGCGAGATTGGTCTAAGGCCACCTTAAATGTAGTAAGACATCTGATTCC